CACACACACACACACACACACACTCACACACGCTCATACTACCTTCTTCTTTTCCCTCCCTCTCTCTAATTTACCCCTCTCCCTTTATCTCACCAGATTCTCCTTCTTTGTTACTCTCCCCTTCCCTCCCTATCTGTCTCTCTCTATATATATATATATACATATCTCCCAATCTTTCTTTCTTTCATTCTTCTTCTTCCCCCAGACACCTCTCTCCTCCGTTATGCATCAATAATTATTCTCTTGTTCCATCTCTCAGAATTCACCCGACACCAGAATACTTTAAAAACAAATCTATTAATTAGATTTCGCTACATGAAAAGCTATATATCTAAATGAACAATGTCATAAACAAGATTCTAAGGAGAAATTGTATCCTGATGATATTAGGTTGAATGCCCAGCCTAAATGGCTCACAATGTCTCATAAACGTTCATTAGGTAATTATTCAATATTCATCAGGTTGTGTTGACCCAGTGTGCTTGTTGAAAACGCCACATCCTGTTTCTTTTTGCTGATTCAAAGGAAGCACGATAATATCCAACAATTCTAAATTCCCTCTCGCATGGCCAACAGAGACAGATAGCATATTATAGAGCCTGCACAGTTTTTATTTATTTATCTATTTATTTATTTATTTATTTATTCATTTATTCATTATTTTTTTTACCGATAACTATTTATGTATTTATATTTATGTTATTTATTTATTCATTTGAAAATTTACTAACTTATTAAAAACATCAAACGTTTCACAAGGACATATATTTGGGAAAGGGAATTTGCATAAAACGGAACAAAGGTAAAATATGCCATGGCCTAATCAAAAACCTGCATTTTATCGTATTTCTTGAAAGCATATAGAGAAGAAAAAGTCTTCTTTCTGAGTGCAAACATTGTATGACAAAATCGTCATCGACTAATAAATCATTTATTAGTTAAATGTAACGCTAAGTAGCCATGAAGAAAACGAGACTGGCAAGTACTTGTTTGTACCACGTGGAGAACGTCATCAATATGTCTTCGTGTCTATGTGCACACATAATGAAAACGTCTCTGGTAGATTATTTATTTCTTCATTTTGATGAAAATATCACCAACAAGGGAGTATGTCTACACAGTGTTAATAAAACGTCTCCGTGACATAAATTGGTGGTGGCATTTTGAGTGCGCTTAGGGACATTAATAATGTTAATGTTCTAATTCACAATCATGTCAACAAATGAAACGACGTCTCGAGATTTAGTTAAGACAAGAAGAAAATAATATTGTAGATCTGTACGAAGAGCTCCAAGTTACTTTCAGTTACTTAAGAAAGTATATTACAAGAGAGGGTGGCGGGTGCCCTGGTGCGGTTTGCTCATTTTTTAAAATCAAACACCTATCGTCCATACCCCTCCTTCTTTTCTGTGCTTGTTTCTCTTTTGTGTCTTTAATCTTCGGCATTTATATCGACTAATTATGCTGCACGTGCCTTAGAACAATTACTAAGACAAAAAAAGTCAACATAAAATGAGTACAGCTCTCCCTATGTTCGTGAGTAGATCTCTTCTTCCCGAGTACGATCGATGCACGGTATTTTGTGCCGCTGTTAAAGTTTGTGATATCCTTCGTGATCCACCAGCATCATTATTGCCATGCTATCACTTCGTAGCAACAACGGGAAATAACAATAAAGTGGAATGTACTATTTCTACCTATATTTAGTAGATATAATCGAAAGAATAAGAGACCGCAAGACTGTCGTTACTTAGCAGCGATTTTAGCGACAGTCAAAAACAATTCATAATTGTCTAAGCCCTTAGCTCTACGTTGTCGTGTGAAAGGTACACGGGCAGCTTGTAATTAATAACAACATTTATATAGCGCACGCCCATGCTCCAATGCACGCTGTATGTGCTTTACAACGTTCTATTACCTGGGGGTATCAGCATCACTGGCTTAGAGATTGACGTGTATTGACCCGCCATTATTAATACGATCGTAAACCGCTCTCGTGCATTTTGTCATAATATCTAGCCCATTCCATATTATTTCGTGTTCTTGGCTCACATCGTGCATTGGCTATACATAGCTCTTTGGGCCCCACGAAGTGTTGTAGCTTTTTACTCCTCATTTTGTTCAACAGGGTTTGTTTGTGTGGAGAATCTGACACACCTCGATGTCTTTCAATCAATTCTTGCTAACAATCATTTTTACACCAGCAGACCCTCGAACACCCAGAAACATTCTCGGCTCTCCGAGAAGCGCACAGTGCAAGCAGTGGATAAAGCACTGAAACACTAACCAACTGACAACATATTATTTTGCCATCTATGGTCAGGTGCACATTCCCACCGGGGGGAAGTGAGGACAGTTCGAGTGTATTGCCTTTCTCATGGATACAATGTCGATTTCCTGGCTGGGTTCAAACCTATGCCCTTTCAGTTGCGAGGCCAAGTTTAACCACTAGCCACATCGAGTTACGTAAGCCTTACATTGAGATCATAAGAGAGGAATGTGCTTGTGTATGTGGGTTGTTTTTTTTTGTTTTTGTTTTTTTTGGGGGGGGTATGTAGCATTGGTGAGCGTTTTTTTTTTGTAGAGGTTTTACAGCGCTCTTGGTGAGCGTTTAATGTATGTGTTTTTAAATATGACTGAAACTACAAAGTCAGTTTCTCCCAAATATGACCAACGAAGTCTTTACAATATTGCGTATCTTACATTACATTTAAGACAACCACAAGCAAAAACTGAATCAATCACAAAGAAGTAGCATCCTCATTTCCTGTCGGGTGGTTGGCGGACACTAAACGGGACTCAGTCATTTGCACATATAATTTCAATCATTCTCTAGAACAGGAAACATGAGAAAATGAAAATTCTGTAATCTTACACTTGTACTCCAGGAAGATGGATCCGTTTGTCCAAGATCAGGCAAGAAAATACTGTATGAACGTCAAGATATTAATAAATCAGTCTGTTGCCCTCAGTCAAACAGTGCATATTATGATCCCGAAAGAGGAGCCACCACAGAAATACATATTTGATGATCTGCTTTGTCATTCTGTTGCACTCATCAACAAGTTTCAGACTCCTATCTCTCTCCTGGAATAGCAGCGAGGATTATAATGTTAAGTACTTAAAGTGCGCTAACAGCTTGTGGCATCCAGTACACGCACATAGGAAGTTTTCATGATTTTTAATACAAAATGTGTAGTGTTCTCAACGACCTCTAGGAAGTCGAAGTACTTGTATTCAGTTTTTGCTTGAAGACCCTGATTAACTGAGTGTCTGACCCGAACTCTGTAGTCTTAATAATTATTAATATCCTCTCGAGTAATAATGATAATAGAGGGATTTAAAACGATACCAACTTTGGAACAAGCAAGGTACTTTTTTAAATGTTTTTTTTGTCCCTCAATGAAAAAATTAATCACCACACATTGCACTCGCTGTTTTCCTTTTGAAATACCGGTACACAGTTTCAGAGTTACAATACTGGGGGGGGGGGGGGGGGGAATTCAACAGGTTGTCAGGGAGTAATGAATAACGAGTAATGGATCTTTAATATTTTATATTATAATTTTGTACTCGTTGCACTCTGTTCTCTCACTGTAGAGACTACAATCCCAGGCTCTTCCTTTCGAAATACGAATCATCCTTATAATAAGTATCTGCCCTCGCTGAAGTTAAAAAAATCATGGAGCAAAACAGCGACCACGCCACTCGCGGATAAGGAAAAACTCCTCAGTACGGTACGGCCACGCCACTCTTGGATGAGGAACCAACTCTTCGGTACGGTCCGGCAGTCCAGCCATGTCAGAGCAGGCTCGTGTCCTCTTCCTCTCCCGATTCTTCCGACTGTCGACGCCGCCTCTGTTGCTGCTCCCGGATCTCAAACTCATCTGCAGACACATTTTGAAAGGAGAGGTCAAGTGAAAATCAGAATAAGCCTCTTTTAACTCTTGCAATTCATAAGCCTCTTTTAACTCGTGCAATTCATAAGCCTCTTTTAACTCTTGCAATTCATAAGCTTCTTCCCAATGTAAAATATACAATTACATACAAGTGCTTACCATGGCTATCACCACCCTCCCAACACACACATACTCACAAACACACGCACACACACATACACACACACACACACACACACGCACACACACATACACACACACACACGCACACACTCTCTCTCTTACACACACACATACACACACACACACACACACACACACACACACACACACACACACATTCCTCTCTTTCGATCTCAATCAGAATAAGCTTGTTAAAACTCTTACAATTCGTCAGCCAATTTCTTGTGTTGTCACTGCAAGTTTAGTCTGAGAATAGTAAACTTATCTGCCGCAGAAAAAAGTTCAGTTTTAAGCAACAAGCATGCATTGCCCATAAAAAAAATAAGAAAAGGATAAAGATTTGATATATGAGAATACAACTACCTAACTAATTACCTACTGTCCGAGACACTATGACTTCGAGAAAACAATTAGTACTTTCTCCAATTATGTGTGGATCTTCACCAAATTTAAGAGGAACCATGTTTGATTATAACGTGAAGTCAGTCGTGTTGTATGGATAGATGTGAGACATGGAACGCATCTCAAACTTGCATAAAGGGGATCCAGGTTTTCTTAAACAAATGTCTAAGGAAGTTACTGAGGATCAGACGGACAGACAGGGTCACCAACGAGGAAGTATTAAGAAGAACGAGATAGAGCCCAGTCAGAGATGAGGTGGGAAGAAGACGGTGGCGATGGATTGGACATTCTTTCAGGAAATCAAGCAGCTGCAAAACAAGGGAATTGTTTAAATTGGAACCCACGTGGTAAAAAATCAAGAGGAAGACCACGTAGAACCTGGTGAAGAGTCACAGAAATAGATGTACAGAAATGTGGGAAGACTTGGAATGACACCAAGCAGCTAGCCCAGGATAGGGAAAGGAGGAAAGTGTTTGTTCGTGGCCTTTATCCTGATACAGAAAAGCAATGATGATGATGATGATGTTTGATCATCCGGACGCCATAATCTATGCTCAAATGTGAACTGGTCACCAGAGAACTGCTGCATCAGCCATGTCTTTGAGTACCCCAGAAGCGGCCCTTTGCATTAAAAAATGTGCTGAATTCAAGTCTTAACATCAGCTCCAAGCCTCTTATTGTAAGGAATGGGAATTGCTTACACATTTAGCCCGCGTGCACCTTCTGAAAAAGCAATTTGATGGTGGTACGAACAGTTCAAGTTGAGAGGATGTCTGTCAGAGGGCCATTAAGGATTGGGGAGAGCTTTAACAAAACGGTGCGAAATAGTGGAATCAGACCGCTCGTCGGTCACGAAAATATCAAAAAGTCTGTTTGAGGATTTAGCGGTGAACTAGGATTGTCAAAGTCCCCAACTTACAGAATCGTGGTTAAAGCATGATTTTAAAATGAAGCTATCTATTGTATCACATTCTTGCCCACATAGCAGTAACCGCAGACAAAAACAGTGGGGTGCGTGGGTTTTGAAGACAAGAGGGACAGAGAGAGAATGTTCAACGCTTTGGTTGCTTTAGCGAGGAGGCCCATTTCTACGGAACTAGAAAAGTTTATTCTGCGAGCTATGTGCGCTGGGAAACAGAAAGCAACGATGATATGAATGAAAGGAACTCAAAATCAAGACAAAGACCTTGTAAGAGTTACCATGTCGCATTAGGGTCAGAGGGCTGCACATTTTTAGTTAGAACATGGAAATGTACTGCGTGTGACGGGGAACCATATTGAGCCAACATTTTTAACGCAGATTTCTTTTTCATGTAATAAATTGTTTAACTTTCTGTTCGGATGGTTCCTTTTTGTTTCTACCAAAAGACTTTGCTGTATTCATAGAGTTTTTTTTTAAAATTCTACTATTTTTAGTGGCCATGGAGTTTAGGGCACCCTGTATGATAAACGGGGAAAACAAAACAAAACAAGAATGCGACATCTAGTCACTTAACTTACAACAGTACATCCTGAAACATATACCTATGAAATGAATCAAGAATAAAACCACATACAGCATCTTGCCTTTTTAGAATTGGCAAATTAAGTTATGACAAGCGAAGTCCATAATGAAAAAGTGAGAAAAAAGCGTATGTCGAGGGAGGAATAATGTGACTTCGCCTGTTTTTTTTTTTTCATTGACCCCTTCAAATGTCGAAGGACACAATTTAGTGGGATACAACAATGACACTGTAGCATGGGAAAACGACAAGCACATGGCTCGGTATGCATGACTTGATTTTGGGAGACATCGTGGTAAAACCAGGTGCTCATCAAAATAGTGAAGCCGGAGAAACCGGCATTTCTCCATCTGTTGGCAATTTTCATTTTTCATCGAATTTGTTGGGGGGG